GATAAAGCTCTGGAATGGCTGCCCGGAGAGGTGGTGGAGTCACCACCCCTGGGTGTGTTTAACAAAGCCTGGATGTGGCTCTGGGTGCCAGGGTGAGTTGAGGTGCTGGGGCTGGGTTGATCGATGATCTTTCAGGTCTCCCCCAACCTGGTGATTCTGTGATGTCCTTACCCTTCCCTCCCACAGAGCACAACCGCCCCATACCCATGGAGAGGCTGAGCAGGAGGCGAGGGGCCCCCTCTGGGGGTCTCTCATCACCAGGGCCACTCCTCCCCCAGCAGGTAAGAGGGACAGTGCGTGTCAAAGGGGACACAGTGTCATGTGGGGGACACAGGTGAACCTCCCTGCCAGCCTGGGAATCCTCCCTGCCATTCTGGCACAGCTGTGCTGGGAAGGAGCCCCTCTCCAGGCTCATTGAATCCAGCCTTGCTGGAGCTTTTCTCTTGGGTCAGCCTGGAGGTGGAGCTGGGCTCCCACCCTGCTGCTGTAGCAGCCACGGGGAGCTCCTTGAAGCTGGAGCAGCTGGAAGCACATTCCTCTGGCTGCCCACCTGCCTCCAGAGCCAGGGCAGGCAGAAGGGGTGCACAGATTTGCCCCCACGCTCCCTTTGCTGCCTTTGCCCAGCATGTGCCAGGGCAGGGGCCAGGGCTGGTTCCCAGCTCTCTGTTGACGTGGCCCTGCTGGTCCCATTTTGGGGGTGCCCTGGAGCCAGGAGCTCCAGCAGGATGGCATTGCCTGTCCGGGCACTGGGCAGGGGACAGAACCTGCAGCCCCCACACTAACATGGGAGAGATCTTCCCTGGGCACTGTCCCAGCACATGTTGCACCTCTGTGCTGCTCTCACCCAGCTGCCCGCAGAAGGTGGCACCATGACAGGAGCAGCATCCAGCTCAAGGTTCCAGCACAGAGAAACTGCTGAGCCAGGAACGTCCTCCACCCCAGCCATCACCTTCCTCATCCAGGAGGTAAGGCAAGGGCACAGCTTGGCAGAGGGAACAGCAGGGATGGCAGGAAATTCCAGGGATACCATGCTTGTGCCATGACTGGAGACTGGGGGACACAGCTCAGCCACCAGGACGAGCAGCAGGAGTGTGCCAGCGCAGAGGGCAGAAGGGAAAAGGGGGTGGGTGGGTGCCTGCAGCCAGGGCAGCTCCCCAGGCTGAGCACCCAGGCTGGGCTCTCATCCTCTGCACAGGCTCTCATCTCCGGAGGCCTCGGGGCTCTGGCCCAGGACTCGTCGTTCCTCGCAGTGACCAGGGATGAGATGGCAGCCAGCAGCCAGCTGGAGATGGATGAAGTGGAGAAAGCAGCCGTGGAGCTGCTAAAGGGAAGAGAAACACTGCAGGGCACAAAAACTGGCTCTGCCCCTCTGGACACCTCAGCTGTGCCACCAGGCAGGTCCCCAGGGCTCGGTGCAGCTCCCTCCCAGAAGAGCATCGCTGCCACTCGCCTCTGAACTCCCACTGCAGTGCCCAGGGCTCTGTCCCAGGGGTGCAGGAGCAGAGCCACGCTGTTCCTGCTTCTGCCCAGGGTCCTGAGGTACTCTGGCCAGCTGTGGTGTTACTTTTGGGACAGGTCTCTGGGATGCTGGTGCAGAACAGGACAATGCTGTTCCAGCGGGGCCTTGCAAGAGCTGGACAGGTCATTAAAGTGTTCCTGCTGTGTGACTCTGGGTGCCCCTCCCGTCCTTCCTCTGCCACCCTGCCTGCACAGCCAGGGGAGGGGGGTGAAAATGCGACACCACGTGTAACCAGAGCTGGCAGTGGTTCATGTGGCAGCCTCCAGTCCAGTCATTTTGAGGTTGCCAGGCTCTGGGGATCTCTGAAATCCCAGCAGCTGGACCCTGCATCCTCGTGTCTCTGCTGGAGCCTGCAGCCTCCTGCCTGCAGCTAACTCTGGCCTGTGAGGAGATGTGCCAGGGGCTGGGCAGCAGGATGGGGCCTGGGGCCTTCTTGGGCTTCTTGGGCTCCCTGTCCCAACTGTGTGTGAAACTGGGGATGGGGAGAGGTGTGAAAGCATGTTCAGGCCAGGGCAGCAGCCTTGGGGCTGGCCAGGAGGAGAGCTGGATGCTGTGGTGCCATTTCTGCCCCTCCCACTCTCTCCACACTGCGTTCTTGGGGTCAGGCACCCATCCCAGTCCCCGGGAAGGTCTCGTTCCACCCATGGCATCCATCCCACAGCTCAGGGGGGCACGGGCCAGGAGGGTGTGGAGCTGCTCCTGCCATGCTCCCAGCACTGCTGTGCTGCTGCTGAGCAGCACCCGAGGTTGTTCCTCTCTGGGCTGCCCAGGGGGCCCACAGTGCCCCCCATGGGATTGGGGTGCTGAGTTCTGGGGCAGCCCCATCTGCCAGCTGAGCTCTTCAGTGGGATCTGGCTCCCCAGAGCCCCCAGCCCGGCCTAACTGGGAACTGGGGGGCTCTTGATCACCTAATATATATTAAAATGCAGAGAGTGGATGGGTCCCAGGGGAGGAGCCGATCAATGAGCCAGCCTGCTCCCCAGCACGGCTTTTATTGAGGCAGTGAAGGGAACTGCCTGAGTTCCAGCTGCAGCCTGAGCACCAGAGCCTGGCTGTGCCTGCCCGTGGCAGCACAGCAGAGATGCATGGTGTGGGGAAACTGGGCATCCCTTCCTCTTGCTCCTTGGACACTCACACCCTCCCACACACCTCTGGTGGGGGTGCAAGGGGCTGGCAGTTCAGCTCTGGCAGCTGCTCTGCCAGGGGGGGTCAAGGACAGGCTGGGGTGAGTGGTCGTGGTCTCCTGGTGGGTTTAGGGAGATGCAGGACTGCATGTATCGCTTGCCAAGACACGGGGGTGGTCACTGGAGACTCTAAACGTAACAGGTGACACTATGGTGGGGACAATGGCACCGTGCTGGGGGCTCTGCACCTCTGCTGCTGTCTGGGGATGCACAGAGCATGATTTGCTCTGTCCGAGGTTTGTGTGTGGGGTGTCTGATCCTAGCTGAACTGGGGGCAGGTGTGATTTGTGGTACAGCCACATGTGGGTGGGAGGAGGAAGAGAGAAACATCATGGCACAGTCACTGCCCCTCTCTGCCTGGAGCTTCAGTGGGGAGGAGCCCAGCCTCAGGAAAGCCAGCAGCTCAGGGTGGGACCTGCACCATGTACCAGGTGTCCTTGCAAAGTGGGACAAAGAAAGAGGAATACCAGCTCCTGACACCCCTGCAGGGAGCCAGACAGGCCAGGTCCTGCTGAGCCATGACTCTGTACCAGCATACAGTGTGCTGGGCCTTACCCATGCCAGCAGAGCTGAGGAGCTCCTGCGGGATGCAGAGTCTGTGCACAAATGGTGGTCCTGGCACCTGGGGAGGGGCAAACGTGGGCACGGGGTGAGGGGACCCAGACTGCAGAGCAGAGGGCAGGTGCTGGGCTCTGTGCTGGGCACAGCACTGCCTCACTAGCCATGGCCACCAGCTGCTAGCCACCAGTGCTGGCGTGTCCTGGCTGTCCCTCTCCCAGGATACAGCCTGGACTCCTCAAAAGAAACCTCCCAGTGCCTCAGTTTGCCCTTGTGCTCCATGGCTGTCTGCCCTGGCAGTGACACCAGCCTGCAGAGCTGGCAGTCAGTCCCCTGCAGGTCCCACCCTGCTGCAAGATGCCTTCCCCTGCAGAGCCTTCCCGGGGAAGCGCTGGCACAGCCCGGTACAGCCCCGGTACAGCCCCAGTACAGCCCGGGGAAGCGCTGGCACAGCCCCGGTACAGCCCCGGTACAGCCCCGGTACAGCCCCGGTACAGCCCCGGTACATCCCGGTACATCCCGGTACAGCCCCGGTACAGCCCGGAGTAGCGCTGGCACAGCCGGTACAGCCCCAGTACAGCCCGGGGAAGGGCTGGCACAGCCGGTACAGCCCGGAGAAGCGCTGGCACAGCCCGGTACAGCCCAGTACAGCCCAGAGAAGTGCTGGCACAGCCCCGGTACAGCCCAGTACAGCCCGGAGAAGCGCTGGCACAGCCCGGTACAACCCGGTACAGCCCCGGTACATCCCGGTACAGCAGAGGGAAGCGCTGGCACAGCCGGTACAACCCGGTACAGCCACGGTACAGCCCGGAGAAGCGCTGGCACAGCCGGTACAGCCCCGGTACAACCCCGGCACAGCTCGGTACAGCCCCGGTACAGCCCCGGTCCATCCCGCAGCGGCGCAGGCGGCAGCGGGGCCATGACCCGGCAGAGGGCAGCAGGGGCTGACGAGTGTGAGTGTGAATGTGAGCTGTGTCCGTGTGTCCGTGTCCGTGTGTCCGTGCCCGTGTCCCTTTGTCCCTGTCCGCATGCCCCTGTACCCTTGTGTCCCTGTCTGTGTGTCCCTGTGTGTCCGTGTGTCCCTGTACCTGTGTCCATGTGTCCATGTGTCCGTGTGTCCCTATCCGTGTCTGTGTGTCCCTGTCCCTGTGTCCGTGTATCCCTGTGTCCGTGTGTCCGTGTGTGCGTGTATCCCTGTGTGTCCCTGTATCCCTGTGTCCGTGTGACCCTCTATCCGTGTGTCCCTATCCCTGTCCGCGTGTCCCTGTGTCCCCCTGTGTCCCCATCCCTGTCCGTGTGTCCATGTCCGTGTGTCCCTGTCCGTGTGTCCCTGTCCGTGTGTCCCTGTATCCCTGTGTCCGTGTGTCCCCATCCCTGTCCGTGTGTCCGTGTGTCCCCATCCCTGTCCGTGTGTCCCTGTGTCCCCATGACTGTCCCTGTCCATGTCCGTGTCCGTGTCCCTGTCCGTGTGTCCCTGTGTCCCCATCCCTGTCCCTGTCCGTGTGTCCCCATCCCTATCCGTGTCCGTGTCCCTGTCCGTGTGTCCGTGTGTCCCCATCCCTGTCCGTGTGTCCGTGTGTCCGTGTGTCCGTGTGTCCGTGTCCGTGTCCTTGTCCGTGTCCGTGTGTCCGTGTCCCCATCCCTGTCCCGCTCCCTCCGCCGCCCTCGGTCCGGCCCTGGGGGCGTGTCCCGCCCGGGCCCCGCCCCGCACCTGGCCCGGCCCCGCCCCTCCGGCCCCGCCCCTCCGGCCCGCGGATGCTCCGGGGCAGCGGCGGCGGCGCCGCGCGGGGCCATGGCGGCCCCGGACAGCTGCGTCAAGGTGGCCGTGAGGTGAGTGCGGGATCGGCGCTTCCCGCGGGCCGGGCCGCGCCTCCCGGGGGCACGGGGCTCGCTGCGCCCGGCACCGGTACCGAAAGGCGGGGCGGGCGCGGCCGCTGCGGTGCGAGGCGGGGGTCGCTGGGTGCCCGCTCGGCTCCGACCCCCGCCCCGGGGCAGTGAGACCCCGCCGGGCCGGCCTCTGCCGCACCCCCACGGGCCCGCCGCTCTCCTCCCCACCCCCCGCTCCGCACGGTTCGGGATGTCCGCCCCTCTCCCACCGCCCCCGCCGCCCGCCATCCCCCGTGGCCGGCGGAGGGCGAGGCCGGGACCCCCGGCTCCTCCACCTGCCGAGCCGGCGGGTGCCCAGCCCGGGCAGCTCCGGCCGCTGCGGGGTGGGTCCGGCCGTCCGGAGTGCCACCAGGATGGTGGGCATTGCGGGGGCTCCCTGCCCGCCCCCGCTGGGCGCTGGGAAGCGATGCGGTATCGGTGTCCTTTGTGCTGGGAACAATGCGCCTGCAGACCCGCACCTCACGGAGGAGCTGCTGGCGGCCTCGGAGCCCGCCGGGGCTCGGGGGGCTGCGGGAGCTCGGGGGGCGTGGGCCGGGCGAGGCCGAGCCCCGCGGGAACGGGTGACACCCCGTGTGTCACCCTGGTCTTTGTGAGCGCCATGCCCGGCCCGGTGCGCGGCGGCGGGGCTCTGCCGCTCCTGCCCCTCGGGAGGAAGGAGTCCCCGCCGAGAGAGGGGATCCGAATCCCACGGAGCGACAACGCGGGACCCTGCCCGGCCCGGGACCCTGCCCGGCCGGAGCCGCCGTCCCGCGGGGAAGGGACCGGCCGGCCCCGCTCGCCCCGTGCCTGTGCCGGGGCAGTCACATCTGCCGGGCCCGTGGTGGCGGTGGAGCGGGTCGGACCCCGTGGGAGCCCGGCCCGAAGCCCGTCCCGGCCGGCCGGACACCCGGTGCCTCCCGCTCCGTGCCCCGTGGCCCCGCCGGCACGGGCAGTGCGGGCTGGCGGCGGCGGGACGCGCCGGGGCTCGGGGGGCACTGCCCGCGCCCTGCCCGGTCGGAGCGGGAGCACAAAAGATGCTGCTGGTGCAGCGGCAGCGATGGAGGGAGAGCGGGTGGGTGTGGGGCTGTGTGTGCGTGTGCACGCCGATGTGCAGGGCTGTGTGTGCGTGTGCACGCGTGTGTGTGCACCGCGACACCTCCCAGCTCCCCCTGCCCCTCCATCCTGCTCGCCCCGGCAGCAGCCGGAGGGGATTTTTGCCATTCTGCTCTGGAAAGGCCGAGGGTCGAGGCCAGGCTTTGGCTGCGAAGGATGGGGGAGCTGCAGGAGTGACGGCAGCCCCGCTGCGGCTGCTGCTGGGGTGGCTGCACAGGGGCAGGGGGCTGTGCCAAGATAGAGCGTCTGTGCCGGGACACTGACCCGGGAACCGAGTTAATGCCGACCACGGGGGTGGAGATTTCCTCCTGGCCAGACTCTTCCCGTCTCCATCCTGCATTTCTCTCGAGATGATGCCTTTGAGCAGCATCCCGGAGATGGGGTGGGTGCCCCGCGGCATGGCGGCTGTGGAGTCCTTTCTGCGGGGCTCTCCTCATCCCTCGGCTCCCTTCCAGCAGTGGGTCCCGGGCTGGTGGCTCCGGGACCGCAGCGGGGAGGTGGCGGGGTAATGCAGCACTGCAGTGGGGCTGGGGCGGTCAGAGTGAGGATCCAGGGAGGGGGGAGAGCTCCAACCCTCCTGCACCCCGTCCTTGAGGGAGTGAGCCAAAATCCCGCTCAGAGCAGCTGCTGAGAGCCGGGGACACGGGGGGCTGGAGGTGAGGCGGGAGGACAAAGGAGCAGGGCTGGGAGCGAGGAGGCTGCAAAACAAAGCCATCAGGTTGTGACGCCGTGCAGGAAGGTGGTTCTGATGCTGAGCTGAGTGTGCAAGCACTGAACTGCTCTCCCTGCAGACCACCCACCTTTTCTGCCACAGCATCCCCCGGGGGCTGGGGCTGGGTCCCCTCCTGTCCTGGACTTGGAGCAGAGCGAGGTTTTCTTTTGTCAGTGCTGGTGACACCCTGCCGGTGGAGCAGCCAGGCTGCAGGATTCTCTAAGACCCTTGAAGTAAATCTGCCCCGGATCCCACCTCTCTCAGCCATCAGAGCACAGAGGAGATTGAATGTTTCTGGGATGCAGCAGGACACGGATCAAAGCTCCCCTTTTGTCCCTTGATGATAACATGAATGGGCCAGCTGTGCTGTTTCTTTGGGGTCTCTGTGTCTTTCTTTGGGGTCTCTGTGTCTGTGCTGCTGGTGGGAGGGAGGTGGAACCTGGGGAAGGGCCGAGGACCCTGGATGGTTGGTGGTGTTGCTGTCACAGCCCTCAGGATCCATCTCTGCGGTCCCACAGAGCCTTGGGGTGGGAGGAGTAGGGACAGTTGAACAGAGATGCTGGATCTGTGCATCCCAGGTCCTGCTGATTGCCTTGGTCTGGCAGGAGAAGGCAGGAGAGGTGCTGTGGTGTTTCACTGCCAGCCTCACAGTCTCCCATCCTCTCCTTGAGACCCTGGTCTGCCCCACTTGTACTGGGTTCCAAAGAACCCGGGTGCTGAGCTGTGGGGATGACTTAGGCTTCCCACGTGCTGGGAGGGAAGTGGCCGGTACCTGCGGCAGCGCTGCTCTCAGCAGGAGGAAATGCAGGCCCAGCAGCTCCTCCTGGCCCAGGGGCTGATTTGTTCCTGTACCTTGTACCTGCAGCTCAGACCTGCAGTGGTTGCAAGGGCAGGGCTGGGTCCTGCCCTGGCCCTCGCCCTCCCTGCCAGCAGGGTCTGCCTTTGCTTGTCCCTTAGTGTGACTTGTGAGTGTCACTGTGTTTCCTGGGGCAGCTCCGAGTGTCACTGTGTCTCCTGAGAATCACTGTATTTCCTGGGGCGGTTCCGAGTGTCACTGTGTTTCCTGGGGCAGTTCCGAGTGTCACTGTGTTTCCTGGGGCAGGTTCTGTCACTGTGTCTCCTGGGGCAGGTTCCGAGTGTCACTATGTTTCCTGGGGCTGGTTCTGAGTGTCATTGTGTCTCCTGAGTGTCACTGTGTCTCCTGGGGCAGTTCTGAGTGTCACTGTGTCTCCTGGGGCAGTTCTGAGTGTCACTGTGTCTCCTGGGGCAGGTTCCGAGTGTCACTGTGTCTCCTGAGTGTCACTGTGTTTCCTGGGGCAGGTGCTGAGTGTCACTGTGTCTCCTGAGTGTCACTGTGTCTCTTCTCAGTGTCACTGTGTCTCTTCTAGTGTCACTGTGTGCCGGCAGGGCCGGGCTGTGGCTCTCCAGGCCCTGCTGGGCTAGCGGTGTCTGCAGGAGCTGCCTCCTGCCCGGTGGTGCTGGCAGGACCTGGGGCTGATGCTCCTCAGGCAGCAGCTGCTGCTCCTCCTTGTAGGTCACCTTCAAACGGGTGGCTGCAATGCAGCCGGAGCAGCAGCTCCCCACTCTGTCCAGAAGCACAGAACCTCCTTGGTTGGAGGCTTGGCACAGAAACTGGGGGCTTGTGCCCCCCAGCAGCCCCCTCCAGGTGCTGCCAGCCCCTGCAGCCGCTGAGCCGGGCGGTGGGACGGGCTGTGCCTGCAGGAAGCAGAGCTCAGCGCAGCAGTTCTGCAGTGTCAGGAAGGGCTGATGGCATCTATCGACCCCCGAAGCCATTAAACTGCTTGGCTGGAGGCCTGAGTGGCCTGGCTGGCTGCAGAGCTGCTCCCTGAGGGCACCTCCAAACTGGCTGGAGAGGGAGCAGCATCCCCTGTGCCAGAGCTGCCATGGCACTGAGCATGCCTGGCCTGCTGAGGAGACGCAGGAAACGGAGCTTGTGAAATTGGGGAAGGAAGTTGAGTCGTATTTCAAGTTTATTTAAACTCTGCAACCTCCAGTGCTCTGCTGCTCTCGTGGCTGCCCCTGCTGTGATGCTCTGTGGCCCACAGCAGAGCCCATTGCTGGCTGGTGCCTGGGGAGGGACTCCCAGCTCCTCCTGGAGTCCCCCTCCTGTCATCATCTTACACCCTCAGGGGTGCTCCGGCCAAATGACTGAGCTGGCAAAGGCCTGGAGGTGGGATCAGCTGGGCTCCAGCCCTGCCAGGGTCCTGGCATCTCCAGTGCCCCATGGCTGGGGCTCTCTGCCTGCTGGGATGCTTTCAGTGAGCCCAAAGTGTCTGGCACGGGCTGGGGTCACTCAGCGAGGAAGTGAAGTTGCAGCGCTTCCCCATCAGCTGTTCTGGGGTGGATTTGGATCCAGGGGAAAGGTGGTGTGCAGTGTCAGTGCTGCCCAAGGGGAGAGGGAGAGTGCAGCCCTGGTACCTGCTGCCCACCCTCCCCTGCTGGTCCTGGGGGGGCACTGGCTGCTGCCAGCTTTGGCTGGCATTGGCCTGGCTTTGCTCGCCTGTTACAGCCCTGCAGAGAGAGATAAGGCAATCGATTCCAGCCCAAGGCACGGATGTGACTGTCTCCTGGAGGGGGAGGGGAAGGGGGGAGGGGAGCAGCCCATCCCGGTGCTGGGCACGGCCCTGGGGTGCTCTGTCTCCCACTGCAGGGTCGGGGGCAGCCCTGGTGCTGGAAGGGGAGATCTCAGGAGGCTGCTGTGTCCTCAGGGTGCTGGGCTGGCAAACCCAGCCCCTTTCTCTGCACCCTTTGCACCTGCTGAGGGCAGCTCAGCCATGGCAGAGGGCCCCTGCCCCTTCCTGTGGGTGTTTTGCTGCTGGGCTGAAGCCACCAGACCCACTGCTGCTCTGTTTTCACTCTGGGGCTTTGCAGCCTGCTGTGACTCGGGGCTGTGTGTGCCAGGAGCAGGGGGACAGGGGCTCCCCAGCCTGGAGGGAGCTTTTGGGGGCCACGCTGGGCTCTGGGGGTGCTGTGTGCACGCAGGGGGCTCCGTGCCTGCCTTCAGCCAGGCACTCAGTCGGCTTTGACAGCGGAAATGTTCAAAAGCGGAGCAGGGCTGCAGCCCCGGATGTGCCAGCGCCCACAGCAGAGCAGCCTGGGCAGCCTGGGGAGGGTTTGG